GCTATAAATTGCCCCGAAATGACCAATGTTAAACAATTCAAACGAGAAAACATATGGCCTGATTTATGAACAATCAATGAAAGAGTAACAAATATGATATACATCAACAGATGACAACCACTAAATTACAGGCTCCTGACTTGGGACAGGCAACGATGAACTTATTCAGCTGCAAGAAAAAATATAATCCAACTCTTAAGGAGGGTCTAAATTGCAATCAGCTTGTCTGTCATTTCCTCTCAGTTTATTCATTTGTCAGTCCATCTGTCCATCCATTTGTCTGAAAAGACTTTTGTCACACTTTTCTCATGAACCAGTGAACAGAATGACTTCATATATGATCATATTATTGGTCAACAGCGTGATAGTGATGAGTTATAATGTGTCAGCACTTTTCGGATCAACAAGACTCCTACTTCCCGTTTGCCAATACTTAGAATATTATAATGTGTTGAATGAACTTAAAAATTTTCTTCCTACATTGCTCCAGTACTATATACAAAAAAGAAACGTTTTGGTCAACAGCATGGCCATGATGAGATGTAAACTATGAGAGTTTTTGGATCTGTGGGACACCTACTTTTGAATTTTTCAACATGTTAAATGATAACAAATATTTTTGTCATACCTTTCTCAAAAATAGTGATGAGTTATAACATGTGAGTGCTTTTTATACGACCGCAAAAAAATTTTTGTGGTCGTATATTGGTATGACGTTGGCGTCGTCTTCGTCATCGTCGTCGTCGTCGTCGTCGTCGTCGTCTGGCGTCGTCCGAAGACACATTGGTTTTCGCACTCTAACTTTAGTTTAAGTGAATGGATCTCTATGAAATTTTACCACAAGGTTCAATACCACAAAAGGAAGGTTGGGATTGATTTTGGGGGTTATGGTACCAACAGTAAAGGAATTAGGGGCCAAAAATAAGCATTTTTGTAACTTCCAGACATAACTTGTGTGTTAGTGTATGGATCTCTCTGACATTGTACCACAAGGTTCCATATCACAAAAGGAATGCTGGGATTGATTTTGGGGGTAATTGCCTCAAAATATTAGGAATTAGGGGCCAAAAAAGGGGCAAAAAAACAAGCATTTTTCTAGTTTCATGACAATAACTTGTGTGTAAGTGCATGGATCTTTCTGAAGTTGTACTACAAGGTTCCATATCACAAAGGAAAAGCTGGAATTGAGTTTGGGGGTAATTGCTGAAAAGTTTAGGAATTGGGGGCCAAAAAGGGGCCAAAAATAAGCATTTTTCTAGTTTCCAGACAATAACTTGTGTTCAAGAGTATGGATCTCTCTGAAATTGTACTGCAAGGTACCATACCACAAAGGTCAGGCTGGGATTGATGATGGGGGTAATTGCCTCAATATTTTAGGAATTAGGGGCCAAAAAGGGGCAAAAAACAAGCATTTTTCTAGTTTCAGGACAATAACTTGTGTGTAAGTGTATGGATCTTTCTGATATTGTACTACAAGGTTCCATATCACAAAGGGAAAGCTGGGTTTGAGTTTGGGGTTAATTGCCCTAATTGTTTAGGAATTTGGGGCCAAAAAGGGGCCAAAAAACACATTTTTCTAGTTTCCAGACAATAACTTGTGTTCAAGTGTATGGATCTCTCTGAAATTGTACTGCAAGGTACCATACCACAAAGGGAAGGCTGGGATTGAGTTTGGGGGTGATGAATCATAAGGGAGTTCAAAAAATTTGGGGGGGGGGGATTTTTTTTTTTTTTTTTCCTTTTTTTTCTTTTTTTTTTCTTTTAAAATTTTCCATTTTAAGTTGGTTATTTCTGATTTATATTTAAAAGCAAATAATAATGATATGGTAGGAGATACACACCAAACAGGATGTGTAAATTATTATATAATAAGTATTGTGCAATAGGAAGAAATTTTCAATTGCACGGTATTGCACAATAGCAAGAAATCTTCAATTGCACAGTATTGCGCAATAGCAAGAAATCTTCAATTGCACAGTATTGCGCAATAGCAAGAAATATCCAATAGCACAATATTGCGCAATAGCAAGAAATTATCAATTGTACAGTATTGCGCAATAGCAAGAAATATTTAATTGCACAGTATTGTGCAAAAGAAGATACTTTGTATAAATTGCTTATTTCTTGACCAATTTCAATGGGGTTTTATTCTTGAATTCTTGGGGTTCTTTAATATGCTGAATCTAACCGTGTATTTAGTTTTTGGATTTTGGGCCCCGTTTTTAAATTGGTCCACATTGAGGTCCAAAGGGTCCAAAATTAAACTTTGTTTGATTTCATCAAAAATTGAATTATTGGGGTTCTTTGATATGCCGAATCTAACCATGTATTTAGATTCTTAATTTTTGGTTCCGTTTTCAAATTGGTCTACATTAAGGTCCAAAGGGTCCAAAACTAAACTTAGTTTGATTTTAACAGAAATTGAATTCTTAGGGTTCTTTGATATGCTGAATCTAAACATGTATTTAGATTTTTGATTATGGGCCCAGTTTTCAAGTTGGTCCAAATCGGGGTCCAAAATTAAACTTTGTTTGATTTCAACAAAAATTGAATATGTGGGGTTCTTTGATATGCTGAATCTAACCATGTATTTAGATTTTTGATTTTTGGGCCCCGTTATCAACTTTGTCCACATTGAGGTCAAAAGGGTCCAAAATTAAACTTTGTTTGATTTCATCAAAAATTGAATTCTTGGGGTTCTTTGATATGCTGAATCTAACCATGTATTTAGATTTTGGATATTGGACCATAATAGGTGAATGTCCAATTTAAAATTTTTAAGTTCTTAGACCACATTCATTCTGTGTCAGAAACCTATGTTGTGTCAAATATTTAATCACAATCCAAATGCAAAGCTGTATCAAGCTTGAATGTTGTGTCCATACTTGCCCCAACTGTTCAGGGTTCGACCTCTGCGGTCGTATCAAGCTGCGCCCTGCGGAGCATTTTATTGGATTTTGCAAACACCTACTTTCTGTTTTTCAATTATTGTTTATTTAACACTGTTGTATACCCCCAAATCCCAATGTTTACAGGAAGTTTCTTGAAGGAGTTTTTATAGCCCTGTAGAAATTCATCATTTTATGAAACTTGTGTGAAAAAAGTAGCAAAAAAGTAAACAATTTAAAAATGTAGATATTGCCATTGAAAACCTTATATCCTCATGAAAACCTAATATTCTCATGATTGCTGCTATATTGATACTGTGCATAAAAATAAAAAAATTGACACGAGTAGATACATATATGACATATATCAATGAGAGAGCAATCCAAAAATAAAAAAATAAAAAATTCCTAAAACATTTGAGGTAAGAAATGGTCCAACAATAAAAAAAAAACAGTGTCAAATGTCAATACAAAATTATTTCAAGCTCTAAATCACTAAAAAGTAAAATAACAAAAATACGGAACTCCAAGAGAAATTCAAAAAGGAAAGTTCTTTATATAAAATGGCAAGATCAAAAGCTCAAACACATCAAACGAATGGAAAACAACTGTCATATTCCTGACTTGGTATAGGCATTTCCTAATGTAGAAAATTATGGATTTTTATTTATGTATTTGGTTTCCTTCGTTTAATACTGAAAATGGCTCAGGGCTATTGAAACACACACTATTATTCAGCTCACTTCTTTAAGGCAATGCCGATTTCATAGTAAACTTTGTGCACAGATACATCCAGAGTGAAATAGCAGACTATCATAAAAATTTATCCCCCTTACCTACAATTAACAATAATAACTGACTTCCATTAGGTTTTACATATTTCATCTAAGATACTAATTAAATGACTAGTCCTATAACATTAGTCTTCATATCGTTTGCTTTCGACGTTAATATCAAATATTTTTTTTACTATCAATGCTGTGGTTTGGCATTGATAGTAAAAAATATTTCCAATAAAAAATGTTGAAAGCAAAAGATATGAACCTACGTAGGCTTATGTTACAGGACTAATTAAATGACCTACAGCCATAAATGGGTAATATAAAGTTCAGATTCCTTTATCATAGTAAAACAGCTTTCTTTTTCATTATCAGTTTAATTTTATGCTTTTTTTCAATTGAAATTTTATATAACTTATTTCTTAAATGGGAGTTTTCAGTTTCTTTATAAGCCAGAGACATCTTAGTGGGTCAAAATAGGCTTTGCAATGGTGATTTCTTATTTTGATTGAACTGATGACATATTCCTCCAAGAAGGAATGGCTAATACAGTTTTCATATGGCTATTGGTAATTGTTTTTTTTGTCTAAATGGGTCGTCTATAAAAAAATTATATTGAAAATCAAGGAGGGGACTTATATGATCAAAGGTACTTTAGATTAATTATTTTACTGGAATTTCAAAAATATTTTACAAAACAAAAAATTAACTAAAAAGAAATGTGGGACTGGGACATAATATATTGTAAGTATAATAGTCCCAACAGATGCTCACAGAACATGACAGGAACCTGGAGTATGTTTCACAAAAATACTTACGACTAAGATTGATCCTGACTTAAAGAACCTGGGACTAATGCATAGTCCCATATCCAACTTTCAATGTTTCAAACAAAAAAAATAACACTTGCATAAGTTAATAAAATCAGTAACATATTATACAAAATGTAAAATATGTCTTTGATAACAGAAAAATATATGTGGAAAATAAAAGGTGTCATTTTCCGGATTTTAATCGTATTCATTCCGACATGAACGTTTTTTTTTCTTAAAAATTAACCTATTGCCCATGCGCGTTGGCAGACGATGCTATCATGGCGAAAAAGTTTTGAATCGTTTATTGTTAAGTTTTAAACGAACCTGAAATTAGCATATGCAAAATGCCAGTGCAATTTAAGGTATAAGGAAGAATTATTTATAATATTTTGAATCGGATGCAATATGTATTTGCTAATAATTAAGCTGAAATTGAAAGATTTTCCCTCGAATATGCTGAAATGTCACGGTAGTTGAAAATTTACGTAAACAATAACATTCACTGTTTGGAAACTATTTAAACGTAAACTAAGTTAATTTTCATAAGTTTTATCGATAAAATCTATAGTCCTAGTTTCTTAATTTAGTATTGCTTCAACAAAGCTCATGGGTTACCGGTTAAATCTGAGAAGTATAAAAATCTAAAATAAAACATGTCCAGACAAATTTATTTCTAGCGGTAACATGACTTGATTTTTAGTTCAGTAATAAGATTAAATTTCGAGGATGCGGATGAAAAAGTTTGTGAGTATTTTTTTGAAAACAATTTCTAAATCATCAAAAAATTGTGTTTTTCTTTTTGCAACTTTGACATTCAACAGTTCAAGATCACCCCAGCTTCCCTATTTTAAATGATAAATAATGTGTAATCTTCATTCACCAAATAATTATATCTAGAATAAACAACAACAAAAAAGACATGTACATTAATTTCTCACATGAACATGATGAAAGTTGTTGATGTACATTTTATTGTTGGTATGCAATAAAAAAAAAGCCAACATAATACTAATAGGTATTCTGCATTAAAAAGGGAATTTAATGAAAAATGCTGAAAGATTTTTTTTCCAGGGAACATCAGAATATGACACTGAGTATAAGTGGCTTGACTCTTTCAAAAGTAATAGATTTGTACCAACACCAGAACAGGATGCTCCAGTGGCTGGTCTATCATCAGCAGAGCTAGGTTTTGAAAGTGTGTAAAATCATAAAGCATTTGAAAGCATGTCATTTCAATATGTACTCTACATGTTTTTTGCAAATGTGCATGTGTACATTTACAATAGTTGAACAAGTGTTCTCCCCACAAATTTCATATCACCACCTGTTGAAGCAAGTAATTTTGAAAAACCATCTTGGTTCTAAAAATTTTAGCATCACATTCAAGCAATATAGCATTATATTACCATGATGCTAAAGGGCACTGAGGAGAACACTGGTTTAACAAAAAGAATGCTTAAACATGGGTCATGGATTTTTTGTGTATTTTTGTCACTATAATGCATCTGTATATTAAACTCATTACATGTATTACATTTTGAAATAGAGAAAATATTGGCCTACATGTATATCTTCATGCATTTATTAAAATCTGTATCAAAAGCTTAAATACAAAATTATGAAATGTTTTAATCTATTGATGCATTGTTTGTTTGTAAATTGCAAGTGGTTGTTTGTTACAGCTAGACAAATTAGTTTGTATATATTTAAAGCATGCTTCATTACATGTATATATAAATTCATTACAGAAAGAGAGCGAGTATCTTTCTTCATTTAAAGAATTATCACCTCCAGAGCAAGATTTTTTTCCTGCTGGCCAGAAATCTACAAACTTAGGTATTTCATTTAAGAAAAGAACTGGTATTAATTGTTTATTTTGATTTTTACATGACTTGTGATATGTCAACTCCATAAAAATTGTCACTAGTATTATTTTGTATCATGAATTATTTCTTATTAAACTTTAAAATCTTTATAACAATAAAGGTTACAGCATTTAAATTATATAAGTCTTTTGGTTTTATTGTTTCTGACAGGTTACTGTCTTGTTGTCATGTACCCTATGTTACATTTTATTTATTTATATGTGAAAACAAGAAATACTAGTAAAGTTAGTCTACTGTCTAACAAATTCGAATTAAAATTATAGATTCCCATTGAAGTTTGACTATATGTCGGAGTTTCTTGACCCAAAATAACTCTTCAGCTGAATAAATTTATGCTGAATAATTTTGTTCCAAACTGTTTAAAGCCTGTGAAATTGTTTCAATTAGAATAATTGATGTCTGTCAGCACACAGGAAAATGTTTATCTGTATTCTCTGTTGGTCACATTCAATTTGTAATATCCTGATACATATATTGTTTAGGTGTTTTCAGTTTTAGGGCTTGTATTTACAGAAAAAAAATGTTTCTGCTATAATTCATTTATTCATCTCTTAAAGAAACTGTTATCTACCACTAAGAGAGCTACATTTATCAAAATATTGTTATTATAACTCTTGGTTTTGATACTTGAAGGTGGTTTTGAACACTCTCCTATTAAATGATAATAATATGGCACATGGAAAACTAGAGTGTATAAGCTAGCTGAATAAAAAAGTTACAACTCATACCTGTTTCCTTAAGTTACATTGTAGAGTATACCTGTACTAATACTATAAAACTGGGCATCCAACTATGTCATTCATTGTTTTTTTTTATTGTTGGGGTGAACCCATTATGCCACATTACTAAAAAAATCACAATTTTTATACGACCGCAAAAAAATTTTGTGGTCGTATATTGGTATGACGTTGGCGTCGTCGTCGTCCGGCGTCGTCGTCGTCGTCGTCCGAATACACATTGGTTTTCGCACTCTAACTTTAGTTTAAGTGAATGGATCTTTTTGAAATTTGACCATAAGGTTAAATACCACAAAAGGAAGGTTGGGATTGATTTTGGAGGTTATGGTACCAACAGTTAAGGAATTAGGGGCCAAAAAGGGGCCAAAAATAAGCATTTTCTAGTTTCCAGACAATAACTGTGGAACGGTGTATGGATCTCTCTGAAATTATACTACAAGTTTCCATACCACAAAGGGATGGTTAGGATTTGCTTTGGGGGGTTATGGCTCAAACCGTTTAGGAATTATGGGCAAAAAAGGGGGAAAAACAAGGTTGTCCTGGTTAATGGACAAATACTTTAGTACAAAACATAATTTAAAGCAGTGTAAGGGAGATAAATCAAATACATCATTGAAATTATCTCCCTTACACTGCTTTTAAATTATGTATAAAGTAATGGTTAATGAACAATAAAGATAATTTAAAACAGTGTAAGGGAGGTAATCCAAATACAACGTTTTGGTTACTTCCCTTACACTGCTTTTAAATTATGTTTAAAGAAATGCATATTTATAAAGGAAGACCAGTAAAAATATCTGCAAATGTTGCATCTTTTTTTTTACAAAAAAATCCATATGAAAGATTTGACACTATATTTTTAATTCTATTATAAAATAGATTAAGTTAGCACTATGGTAAATTTAAATGGGTAATTATGGTTGCCAACTCCATTGGAAATTTGAAATGAGATTTTGACCATATCTTGAGGGAAAGAATTTTTTTGGGGAAAAAAGGGGGGGGGGATAAAAAGAAATTGTGGGGGGTCAATTTTTTCTCATTTCAGATTTCAGAAATTAAAAAGAATTATTCTTCAAATATTATTTTTTTTTCAAATTTCAAATATTGAAAAATTTCAAGAAGTAATCTTTAATTGCACAGTATGGCGCATTAGATTTGTAAAATCTTTGATCACATTTATTTATTTGTTATGCCGAATCTAACAGTGTATTTAGATTTTTAATTTTGGGTCCAGTTTTCAAATTGGTCTACATTAAGGTCCAAAGGGTCCAAAATTAAACTTTGTTTGATTTTAGCAAAAATTGAATATATGAGGTTCTTTGATATGCTGAATCTAAACATGTATTTAGATTTTTGATTTTTGGCCCAGTTTTCAAGTTGGTCCAAATTGGGGTCCAAAATTAAACTTTGTTTGATTTCAACAAAAATTGAATATATGGGGTTCTTTGATATGCTGAATCTAACCATGTATTTAGATTTTTTATTTGTGGACCCCGTTATCAAATTGGTTCATATTGAGGTCAAAAGGGTCCAAAATTAAACTTTGTTTGATTTCATCTAAAATTGAATTATTAGGGTTCTTTGATATTCCAAATCTAACCGTGTATTTAGATTTTTAATTTTGGGTCCTGTTTTTTAAATTGGTCTACATTAAGGTCCAAATGGGTCCAAAATTAAACTTAGTTTGATTTTAACAAAAATTGAATTCTTGGGGTTCTTTGATATGCTGAATCTAAACATGTGTTTAGATTTTTGATTAAGGGCCCAGTTTTCAAGTTGGTCCAAGATAGGGTCCAGTATTTAAACTTTGTTTGATTTCAACAAAAATTGAACATATGGGGTTCTTTGATATGCTGAATCTAAACATGTATTTAGATTTTTGATTATGGGCCCAGTTTTCAAGTTGGTCCAAATTGGGGTCCAAAATTAAACTTTGTTTGATTTCATCAAAAATTGATTTATTGGGGTTCTTTGATATGCCAAATCTAACCGTGTGTTTAGATTTTTAATTTGGGTCCCGTTTTTTTTAAATTGGTCTACATTGAGGTCCAAAGGGTCCAAAATTAAACATAGTTTGATTTTAGCAAAAATTGAATTCTTGGGGTTCTTTGATATGCTGAATCTAAACATGTGTTTAGATTTTTGATTATGGGCCAAGTTTTCAAGTTTGTCCAAGTTGGGGTCCAAAATTAAACTTTGTTTGATTTTAACAAAAATTGAATATATGGGGTTCTTTGATATGCTGAATCTAACCATGTATTTTGATTTTGGACATTGGACCATAATAGGTAAATTAAAAAAATTCAAGTTCTTAGACCACATTCTTTCTGTGTCAGAAACCTATGCTGTGTCAAATATTTAATAACAATCCAAATTCAGAGCTGTATCAAGCTTGAATGTTGTGTCCATACTTGCCCCAACTGTTCAGGGTTCGACCTCTGCGGTCGTATCAAGCTGCGCCCCAGCGAAGCATTTTATTTTATAATATATCCTACATTTAATTTTATTCTAGTGCATGACATGATTTTTTGTGAATGTTTACAATGGAAATTATAAATGTTGATGAGAAATAAATATCTGCTATACTGTAAGGTTGCATGTCAGCATTTAAATTTGTGATTTGAAGCGAGTAATTAACATGATCCAAGATGATTTAATGTTTATTTGTTGTCCAGTTAAAGAAATATAAAAAAACATCGTTTAGTGCATGTAAATATGTTAAGAAATTGTTTCTTTTTTTAAATCAAGGATCAGTTAATGTGCATTGTCCGAATATTTTGTTTTTGTTGGATTATGCGAACAACTTGAACATGTTAGAATTTAATTATTAATCAGAACAATGTTGAGTCAACTGTTTTAGTTGCATAAAAATGATTGAATCAATATTCTTAAGTATTTGCACATTTGTATAGCATGCATGACAAATCAGTGAAAATGTTTTCAAAATTTCTTTTTAATCCTGATTCCTTCACTTGTCAATAGATTTTCCTGATATGTTGCTGACTGATGAACTTCTGTTTTGATAACTTTAAATTATTAATGAGACATATATTTTGTTTTTTTGTGTATTCATCCTTCAACGTGGAATAAAGGGTGTCAAAATGACCAAAACATCAATTTTAACATGCTCTTTTACAGCTTCAAAAAATACTTTATTCAAATATAGTAAAAGAAAGGTTGATATTTAAAAAAAATAAAGAATGTGAATATATAATGTAATCCTACCACTGTTTTACATAAATTGAATTGTAATTTGTGTGATTAATCTCATTACACATTTAAATTGGATACTATACCATTTGAACACCTTTTATTAATTACATTATACACTTATGTAGGTATGCCATTTGAAATATTTATTTAATGATAACATTGTTGACGTATGTACATAACCATTTGAACATTCATTAGTTACATACATTCATTGTAAGCTCAATTATATATTATACTTATGTACATTTGTAGGTGTACCATTTGAACCACCAATACAAAGAAAGAAAAGGACAACTGGACCAAGTACATCACTGAGTACTAATTTTTATGAGAGTCCTGGTAGATTTAGTGATGACTATCAGTTGCTAGGAGCTAATGACAAGTTCGTTACTAATGTGAAGTATAGAAGTAAAAGCCATGGTAGAGCACCTTCACCACCAAAACAACAAAAACTTAGCAAGAAAACGGTAGGTTATTGTTATACTTTATAACTTTGAATGAGGTGTTTTTATAGGATTGTTGTAATCACTACTTGAAAATGGAAACAGTTTGAAAAAAAACTTGACTTTACATTGAAATCACAAACATTTGTCCTGTCATTTTTCTTGCACATTAAATAAAGTAAAAAATTACTCCTGAAATTATTTTAAATATGACATTGTTGAGCTATTTTCTTCTATTTGATTAAAACAGTTTATGAGTTAACCAGGATAGCTAATATTTTCTATAAATTGTAAAACACAGTTGAATAATTTCAATGTAAATTGACATTGGCTAATATCATAAACACTTACTTGTCTGAATTCCAAATGTTTGTATAGAAGGAAGAGAACAAAGAAAATTTGAGAAAGACAGCACCAGCTCCATATGTGAATATAGACAGATTTAGAGAACCTCCAAATGCACCACGGCGAGAAAAATATACAGAGCCTGTTAAAAGGCAGGAGAGAGTCAATGATGAGCCATCTACACCTCTGACGCCAAGAAAGCCAAAAGAATATCATGGACTTAGGAAAGAAGATTTTAAATCTAAAACTGTTGATGTCAACAGAGAAGTGGCCTTCTCTAAACAGTTGAAAGATAAAAACGTAAACAACATGAATGAGTTTGCTCAAACAGATTTACAGAGAGGAATTATGGACTCAGCACCAGAAGCTCCAGTAAGTTTGATACTTTAGCTCAAAACAGCGTGTTTGATAAGAGACTTTATTTGGCACTAATAATTGCAAATCTTTTAGAATTACATGTACCAAGTTGTTAAAATTATAAACAATAAGAGACTTTATTTGGCACTAATAATTGCAAATCTTTTAGAATTACATGTACCAAGTTGTTAAAATTGGATAATATGCATGATACAGTCAGATTACTTTAATTTAGATATGTCATTTGAGATGTTGCTGTATTAACATCATAAGCAAAGTCATGATTAATTTTTTTTACCATTTAGTACATTAATTTATAGTTTTTTTTATTGTGGAATTAAATATGAACAACAAACAACCCTACACAAATGTTGATGTTAAACTGGTTATATGCTTTGTAAATTAATATAATGTTCATCAGCAAGGTTCTGATATACATTTGTGTACAATACAATTGCATTGTAGGCTGAGTATGCATTGAAGTATAAAGCTGGTATTGCACCATACAGACCAAGGAAAAAGACATCTGAATATGCAAAAGCCTTTGACTGGAAAGAAAGAATACCTTCATCACCAATGTTGGCTGCTGAACAGGTATATGTCAAATATTGTCATCATTTTTATTCAAGTTTTATAATCATTAAGATGTTTACAGTTAACCTTGTCCTGAATTAAGAATGAATTGTTGTTTAGGCCAACCTTAAAAATATGTTTGTTTGCAGTTTTCCGACTGTACCTTCAGACTGAAGGGTCGGTAGGTAGGAAAAATATTTTATTTTATCAGCCAAAATGAAGTTTAAACAAGCAGTTACACAAACCAAGTTTCTTGTGAAGAAATTTCTTTTAAAACAACAAACACTGAAAACCAACATGAAATGAACAGGTATTTTCAGATAAAAACTTTTCAACCAAAATTGAAACTATAACATGGTGTGATTATCCAATTTATGACATTATTGAATACTAGTACTGGAACACTTATAAGATCTTATAAACAAAGAATGACTAGAATTGTTTTAAAGAAATTGTTCACTGACATATGTTTCTTTACTAGAAAGTTTTCATGAGTAGAGTATTTTCATTAGGAAAATGTAGATATCAAAGATTCATAAGACAATGTAAGAGTGTTGTTATCAATAAAAAAATTAACCATTGAACATGTTGAATCTTTCTCAATTAAAAAAAAAGGAAACTTGAAAAAATATATTTGCCATCTGACTGTTTTCATAGATCTAACAATATTTAATTATATGTAATAAGGTTATATTTTGAAAGATATGTTGATGTGATCAGGCTTTAATTAAAACCAAAAAAAATCTTAGACTTCAGGGTGAAATCAATAGCACCCCTTTAAAAGTAAATGGTCTGTACTGAAATGTTTTGACTGCATAAAAAATTGGCAGCATAGCTCCTAAGGACATGTTTTAATTCAATTCACACAAGCCACACTGTTTGAGTATATTTAATATTGTAAGAGGGAGAAGAATTGCAATGAGTGGGGTAGCTCCCCTTATCCTAAAGGAGCATACTCATTGCAATAGAAGATAGATTTAACATAGAGAAAGTATATTTATTTTTACAAGCCAACCATTAATTTTCTTTACATCTTTGTGTAGTTTCTGTGGCTTCTTATAGATTTGGCATTGTCTATCGATTATAAATTTCAAATGCGCACTTCCTGGCGTGTTTACAGGTATCCATGAAGTCATGGAGAAGTGGTTTCACCCTTGTTTTCTTCACAACGTTTTATAGAAACTATGGCATACTTCAGCATGTTCAGGCTGCTGTCAAATTGTTTAACCACTGTCTGTCCACTGATATTGGTTCCATAAAGTCAGGCTCAAGAGATTCTGTACCCGATCTGTTTGAGATGGAAATGGTTATCGTGTCGGTTTTATGAATATCCGCTGCATCATGCGTTCTCAAATCGTCAATGATATCTGTCTGAATCTGTATAAACAGTTTACTATTAAACTTTTTTGGTTGTTATTTGTTTTAAAATTGACAGAAAACGACAGCGCAAAGTACTCCTCCATGTCTTCATCGATACCTGTAAACAATCTCCATGTGTAGCCTGGCATCCTGACCCAATCTAATACTTCGTCGATAGGTCTACTGTCAAGCAGTTGGCCAGAATCCCAGGCTATCTCCATGTGCTTTATTATTAAACGGTCCCATGTACGCTTGACAAGAAGGTAAGAAAAACCGAACTTGAAACGTGTAATCGACCCAGACTTTAAATCAATTCCGGAAACGACCAGAAGTTCCGGATTGGGTCAATAGAAAAATAAAAATAATTTCTTCAAATTAAAAGCAATAAAATTTTCACAGTCGGGCGGATTTTCGAGGGTCGGTCGGTAAACTGCAAACAAACAATATTTTAATTTAAGCCTTATTTTAAAATGGTTACCGTAAATTCAGAAATTAGTGGGTTCATTTATTATTGCAAATTCTTGACTTCAAAAATATGAAATCTAGTTAATGTAATTGCAAAATTTTAAGGAAGAAAATCACTTCTAAAACTATGATTTCAAGTTTTTATTATTGCGAACCTGGTACTTTCGCATTTTTCACATTAATGAAAACTTCACATTAATTTCTGAATTTGCAGTATATGATACAGTTACAGTAGAATTGTAATAGTAAAACTTTGTATTTCAGGTGGTTTACAATAGTAACCCAGCTATGTCACCTTCTAAGAGAGATGTGGTTGCCAAGTCTTCTGAGTATAACGCACAATATAAGGGATGGAAAACTGTGCCTTCATTAACTGAACTGAAAAAGGAGGAGCTTAAGGAAGCAGAGACCAATCAGAGACAGAGTAGAAGTAAAGGGAGACAAAAGAAAAAGGTTGATACTTTTTACATTTAAAAAATATGTTTTGTATGGCGTTTTGCATCTTTGTGTACAATTTGAAATAATGCTGTTGTCGTATTGAGGTTCCAAACACCTTCCAACAACTAATATTTTCAGCACTGGCTTCACCTCATCTCTGGCATTAATTTGAAATTTAAAGTTGAACATTTCACATTTGTTCAGGCTGCTGTAAATAATTGAGACTTTATTGACTTCAGTCTGTTTTATAATGTTATTAAATTATAGTTGAAAAGCTAATACATGTAGTTCAATTTGTCTGTGTAATTACGAAGTCATAATACAGATTTTATATTATTTTTTTAAGTCTGTTTGTCTCATGCCTTCCTCTGTTTTAAAAAAGAATGCGATGCAAAAGATATAATTAATTGTCTGGCCTATTATAAATTTTAAAAACTAGTCTTGAAAAAGGTGTTATGTAGCTATTTTCACAAACTGAATAACTACATGATTTTATTTTCAGATTCCTAGAAGTAAAAGTGCTTGTAAGTACACATATTTCTAATTGTACTTCTTTATTTGGAATACAACTTTTCTAGACTCAAGGGATTTAATGGTTGACATATTGTACTCCATATCTGCTTTTCATATCTATTTTCAGTTTATAGATATGAATTTACCAAGTTTAGGAATGTGCTTTTTCATATCAGGGGAGACAATACTTTTCTTTTAGTACTTTTGTAAGAAATGGTCAGTTGATTGTTTTAAAAATATAAACAGTGTGTGCATTCAACTTATAAAAGAACAGTTGATAAAATGTGATTACCAATTTGTTACAGCACTAAATTAATTTAGATTAATAAATCTGGAAAATTAAACAAAATGAATATTTTATAGTTGCAAACAATATGCATTCACCTTTTTTTCTTTTGTTTTGATACATAATGTTTTACTCTATCTTCTATTGTAGCTGCAAGTCCAGACAGACTACCACCAGCTGGTACAGAGAAACTAGTAACTAGTGATGATAAGAGAATGTTGAGAGGATTTGGAGAAATAAAGAAAGAGGTACCAAAGGTTCCTAAAGGACCAGTAAGGTAAACAGCAGAAGTAGTGTTTTAAAGTATGATTCTCAAAACTCATTTCTTTAAAATGTGTTATTTACCAGTTTATGAATTATTGAAACTATTAAGTTTATTTAAAGCAGGGGAGACATTTTAGCATGTGCACTCTTTGTTTTATGAATGTAGAAGACAGTACTTTTATATTATAAAATTGGCTGTTCAATGGAAATTTGTCTTCCACAGTTACAGGGTTAAAGCAGAAGAATTGCAAAGGCAATCAAACTTTTGAATAATTTTTCTTCCTTACCAGATACAAATATAGGTCTTGTGAGAATTATTTCACCAAAAGTTTTTAATATATACTTTCAGACAAGGAAAAAGTGAATATGCATCAAACTACCGATCTCCCAAGAAATTTAAAGTTGTTCATGGTGCATGGAAAGGAGCTGACCCACCTCATTTCCAGCCTCAGGTAAGATACAGCTAAGTTTCACTTCCTAATTCATTTCTCAAGTTCTATGTGGACATTTTAGTCCTTTTCACATTGGTGTTAAATTTCGTTTCCATACTGGTTTGAATATTTTATAAATTATACCAAGTCAATTAGGGAAGGATGCAAACTTTCTAATTGTAGATTACTTTTATATTTTATCAGGATTCCAAGAAGTGATGTTTAAACATAATCTGAATATTACATAAAGAATCAAAATATACGATTTGAATATTTTTTTTATATTGTATTTTAGAATATAGATGAAGAGAAAACTCCTGTTGTTTCCAGCTGGTTTGCTGAGGTTGTAGAGCTTAGGAAGAAGGCTCAAGAGTATAAGAAACGGGCTCAGGGAACACATTTCTCCCGTGAACATCTGGTACAATTGATGGCCAAACAAGCTGACATGTGGGACTTAGAGACAGAGAGGTCTAGTACATTGTCAGCATTGTCATTAGAACTTGGTAGTGCAAGAGAACAGAGGAGAATCAATAAGTAAGTTTAACTTATCGTTTTATTATTTGTGACTGTTGAAGGTTGATGGACCAGGATGATTAAAAATGAGTGAATTTGAGTTTTCTTGCACAGGGTTTGAATAATAAGAGGTACATGTACTATCTGTGGACCCAAGGTAATATCACATTTGTATCTTTTCCCTAAGTAGCCCATGCCGGCAAGCATGTTTAACCTAGCAACATTCTGCATGTGGATGTCAGTAGCCTGTTACTCAGTGGTTGTCGTCTATTGCTGTATATCATAATTGGTTTTGGTTTATTGTTTTGTACATAATTCAGGGATCACCATGACCTATATAAGCGTGGCAGTGTGCCATGCTTAAATTCCTAGCGCCACGCTAAAATTCCCAGCACCACGCTCATTTATAGTCCGCCACCCTTGCAAATTCAATAGATTGAACTTCAGTTCTGGATATCCCTAATCTAATTATCATGTCAGTGGCAATTAGGAAATCTAATTAGTGTTTAATAGTGTGAACACCGCCTCTGGGAATGTACATTGACAGCTGATTGCATTATTTACATTGTCTCACATGGTTGAACAAGGTAACATCCAATGAACGATCATGACCTGGTTTTGTCAAATTGAAAAGTTAAAATTGTTTGCAAACTATTCTTGAAATACAAATGCTTGACTGTACCTTCAATTCCTAAATAGACATATATATCCAAACTAAATTAATAAAAGCAGTATAATCCAGAAATTATAGAAATCAAATGAATTCCCTGACAACATGTTTTCTTTTGTTGACAACCATGTCACATGTGCACTTTTGGTGGGAAAATACTGGGAAACACCCAAATACCAGACAACACTGTCTGGTTTTTTAAAGACATTTTAATAAACAGCTGAGCTGTGCCATTAGGGAAAAGAGTTAAACTGGGTATATATAATTCCTTAATCAACATTATTTTATTGGAAAGTGGGGGGGGGGGGGGGTTTAATTTATAACATTGTCATTATATATATTAAACAAATTCTCAATTTTATGATCTGATATGCTTGGTAGACTTCTTGGTTAAAATGGCTTTGATGATTTTTATCATTAATTCCTTAAGCATTTATCTTTCTATGTGGTTTTCCAAAAGACCATTTAAATCAAATCAAAATTTGTCATGAATGGAAGCTCTTTAAATTAATAAAATTGTATAATGAATACTTTATCACATGATAAGCAATATGTGGATACCTCACTTATATATATTCCTGAAATCTGGGAAGCCATATAAGGGTTTTTAACTTCTCAAATAGGTTTCTTAATGTGTGGTGACCAAAAAATGTATATTAGTCCCCATTTTCATTTTAGCTATATATGACAACAACTTGTAAGGCAGAAAGTAAACAATTAAGGAACGATTCGACAATGAAACACACCATCTCTAGCTGATTTGATTAACTTTCTCCCCCACCCTTGATTTTCAATCATACTGAGGTGAACCATGTATTGTCATTTCGGAGCCTTTTACGGCTTGCTATGCAGTATGGGTTTTTCTAATTGTTGAAAGCCGTACGTTGACCTATAGTTGCTTATTTCTATGTCATTTTGGTCTCTTAGGAGAATTGTCTCATTGGCAATCATACCAGATCATCTTATTTTTAACTGTGTTGCTGAAGGTATAAGCCGGTCTATTACCAATCGACTCCATCCATCTGTCCATCGATTAAACTTGGGAAAAAAGATTTTGTGAAAGCTTCCTTGGCTTTGATAGTGATCCAGGGGCGGCGCATTAACTAACTTCTCAAAAGCTTAATATTTCAGAAGTTAGAAGACCTGGATGCTTCATACTTTGTATATAGATGCCTTATGATATGAAGTTTCCGTCTGTCATATGTCCATTGTCCTTGACCTCATTTTCATGGTTCAGTGACTACTTGAAAAGAAAGTAAAGTTTTTTGTAATATTAATTTCTCTCTTATTATGAGTAATAGGATACCTATATTTGGTATGTACATACCTTGCAAGGTCCTCATGTCTGTCAGATAGTTTTCACTTGCCCTCGACCTCATTTCATGGATCAGTGAACAAGGTTAAGTTTTCGTGGTCAAGTCCATATCTCAGATACTATAAGCAAAAGGTCTACTATATTTGGTGTATGTAATGATTGTAAGTTGTACATGTCCAACTGGCAGGTGTCATCTGACCTTGACCTCATTTTCATGGTTCAGTGGTAAAAGTTAAGTTTTTGTGTTTTGGTCTGTTTTTCTAATACTGTATGCAATAGGTGAGCTATATTTGGTCTATGGAAATATTTCAAGATGTACATGTCAGTCTGGCAGGTTTTATTTGACCTTGACCTCATTTTCATGGTTCATTGCTTAATGTGAAGTTTTTGTGTTTTGGTCAATTTTTCTTAAACTTTACGCAATAGGTAAACTATATTTGATGCATTGAATGATTTCAAGGTGTACATGTCTGTCTGGCAGGGTTCATCTAACCTTGAGCTCATTTTTATGGTTCATTGGTCAATATAAAATTTCTGTTGTTTGGTCTGTTTCTTTTATACTATAAGCAATAAGTCATCTATATTTGGTGTACAGAATGATTGTATTAAAGGTGTACATGTATTTCTGGCTTGCTTTATCTGACCATGACCTCATTTTCTTGGATCATAAATGTTAATGTGATACTTGTAAAACTTTATATTTATGACTATCAACTTGAAATCAATGGTCAGTGTAGTAGGGGAGACATTTCAGCGTGTGCACTCTTGTATTCAATATCCACTGTATGAAGTTGGGTGGGGTGGTGTCTGTGTTTAATCATAAAAATTATGTAGATGTGAAACTCTTATTCAGATTCTTATTAAACATTTTTTTTTTTAAATGTGTGATGTAGATTGTTTTTGTCCAATCTATCACAAAAACTGTGAGCACCAACTCTCATGTGATTTATTGTAAATTTATATCTAATCCCATTTTTATGCACAGTAATAATTACACCTTTTGTTCTGTATAGTGGAAGTATATCATCATCTAGATCATCGTAAGTATTGATATCTTCATTCTGACTTAAGTTGTGGTTTCTGAGTGTTGCCAGATTAACTTACCTTTTAATATGCATGCTTTAAGTTCTTACCTACCGATTCCACTCAATATTAATTTGAATATATTTATTGATATATTCAATTCTCAAAGAATCAGCATTTGTTTGTGTGATTTGCTGTATGATGTGTAAGAATCAGCTCATGAAGACAATTTTGACTATATTTTTGTTTGTTTTTAATTACATAATTATTTACAGCAACTTTAGACACTTATCCAACAGCAGAGCAATTTGGTTAACTTTTCTGAGTTTTATCATGGTCAAAGTTGATGCAAAATCTCTTACTTTATTGATGTTCTAAAATTTATTAATCATATACCTAAAATGTTAAAAGGAATACAACTTTAATTGAATGATTTTTTTTGAAGTTATCAATAAAGTGCATATAAAAATGAAGAAATCTTCCTTCAAATTATATCATTTATTGCCTGGAAATGAGTTTATTAGAAATATATTACAACTACAAACAATCAGATAATTACTGGGCATCATTAAGTCCATTGTAGAAAAACTTGACAAAGAAAAGTAAGGGCATTGTGTCAAGCAGTTAGTTGTGGTTTTTGTCTCGCCTTGATGGAGTCTAAAAGCGAGACATAGGTATGCTGTTTCCGGCAGTGGCGGCAACAATGTATCAATTTGTGATAAGGTCACTTTTGTGGGGAACCATTAGTGGTAAGTCAATAATATTTGGTATGCAGTTATGGAAATTATTTGGCCCCGCCCCCTCAGTCGTGGTCTATTGTCCTTGAAACTTTTGCATAATTTACATGTATTAGTTTGTTATTAGGTCAGTTTATTGGGAACCACTAGTGGTAGGTCAGTGATATGTGGTATGCAGTTCTATAAGCATTGGCACATCTCATTTCCATGGTGATTATTTGGCCCCGCCCCCTCAGTCATGGTCTATTGACTTTGAAACTTTTGCTTAGTTACATGTATTAGTTTGTGATTAGGTCAGTTTATAAGGAACAGCTAGTGATAGGTCAATGATATTTGGTATTCAATTGTATAAGCATTGGCACAAATGATTTCCATGGAGATTGTTTGGCCCCGCCCCCTCTGTTGTGGTCTATTGACTTTAAAACTTTTGCTTAGTTTACATGTATTAGTTTGTGATTAGGTCAGTTATTGGGGAACCACTAGTGGTAGGTCCATGATATTTGGTATGCATATGTATTACCATAGGCACATCTTATTTCCATGAATCAATGACTTTGAATATTTTGCATAACTTACATGTTAAAGTATTGCTATTTTAAGTTCAACATTTGCATTTTACTATCAAAATAACAAAAAGGTGAGACATATCTCTGTGTTAGCAGTTTTTTTACTGTCTTATATGGGTCTTATTGGAATATCTACATCCACACCCGTGTGTGGGCCTGTAGCTAGTTCTAAGAGACTTCAGATCAAACATATACTTAGTGTGCAGATACATCTTGGAAAAAATGATTATGTACAGCAAGATAATGGTCACATGACACATATTTCATGGTTCAGAAACTTTGATAAACTTTTTAAACATCCTGGACCTCGTTTAAGTTTTGTGTCCCAATTGAGATCTCAGATACTAAATGAAGTAAATGACACATACATGTAATTAGTTTTAGTACGCATTTTGTAAAGTATATACATTTTGTACTGTGTTGTAATTTCTGCTTCTTGCCTAGTCCAATAGCAATGAAGTTTTGAAGAAAACTTATAAAACTTGTAATTATGAGGGATAAACAACTACAGCTGTTAATATGGATGTCTGCTCTCTTTCAGCATTGGTAGCGTGAATAAATAATCCATAGTAGAAAATGATGGTTATTAAACTTCAGTAATAATTGTACAATCTCTAAAACAGCTGATATTTGTTTACATACATGTACATTGTTCCGATGTACAACTATATAATTTACATAAAAGACAGAGCTACTAATATAGCATTCTTGTATTTTGTAAGGACCAAATGAGAATAGGTCCTAAATTCCACAATGCTCATACATGTAAATCCCAGATATGCTAGACTAACAGCTATCTGTGCTGCTTCTTACCTCTAAACTACGGCGATTACTTAAATAATATGTGAGGCATACAGCTATATGTGCCGCTTCTTCCCTGTAGGAACTCTCAGCATCCTGCCTGGTAGCCAAAATGTGAACATAGCAAAAACTAATGAACTTTACCTTGCTTCAGTTTTTATACAAAATTTACCGGAAGTAAACATTCTAAGCAGGAAGAAAAAACACAATGTCAAATGCTAACATAAAGTAAAAGAGCCCTTGACTTAAAATGCTTATTCTAACAAACTATTGTGACTTAACCAATCTTGGTATATCAATTCTTCCAGTTAAGAACTCATAAATGTACACTTTCAAGGACACGCTTAGAATATTGACCCAACGGTGATGCTTTGAACAATATACATGACAAAGTTACGTCATATTTGACGTTAATGAAACAATTAATAACAACAGATGTTAATTGCTCATTAAAATGTACTTCAAACTATGAATGACTACAGAATAACTTATACAAACTTTCAAAATACAAAAGAAACAATATTTCATTACTTGGGAATCATCAGGGCACACATTTACAACATACTGTATAAAGTATATGTCACTCTGGCTTACATATAGACATGATGATTTTGATTAAGGTTTTTGTCCAAGTTCAGACTTCAGATACTAAATCATATACCTACAATCATCTAGGTGTAAGGAAGCATATAGGGGAGTATGGCAGTATCCCATGTATAGTAGATCAATTTTAATCACATTTTTAACTTCATTGACTAATGCAAAATTTATACAAAATTTCAGTTCAGTGTTCATATCTCAGAAATAAAGTGACATACAATCATATAAATTAATGTTAACATTTATCCTGGGGAGAGTATAGCAGCCTCCCTTAAAAGTCTCGCTGATGTATATTGTATACATTATTGACTTTGAAGTTTTACTTCAGAGTTCATATCTCCGATACTAAGTGACATATAATTAATAAAATTTGTTGTAGGACACCATTTTGAGAGTAAAGAAACTCTCTCTGAATATAGGTCACTCTGAACCCTAATGCTTTATTGACTTCAATGAATTTTCCTTTAGAGTTCAGATCTTAGTTCATAGGTAACCTCTACCACATACAGTCTGTTGGAAGGATGATATCTATGAGAATATAGAAGCTTGCCACAAAAAGGAGATCAAGCTGACCTATATGACCTACATTTATACTTCATAAATCATAAGTAGTTTTAGTTTGAATTCAGATCTCAGATATTAAATTTTTAGTTATAATGAAAAACTCATTTATCTTTGTGAAAAAAAGTGTCAAGGGGAGAATAAAAATGTTATTAAAAATAGGTCACTCTGTCCTACGTTTTACACTTCATTGATGTATGCTATGTTAAATTACATTTGATTTTGTGTTTCTGATCGGAACTGACCTACAATCATGGACAGTAAAACAATTCTGTTTAAATTCACGTTTGCTGGTGATAAAACATGATAACCCTCTGATTTAAAACCCTGTCATATTACATCTGAAATATACAGAGAGATATTTCCAAGAATATTACTTACAATAGCCTGCATTCACCACCAACAGTGTACCTTGTGTGTACTTCAACTTTTAACAGATGCATTTAAGAGAGTATAACAGATCACTGTGAAAAGTAGTTCACTCTTATGATCTTATTTATACATGTATTTTATACACATGTACTTTGTTGACTTTATTAAGTCTTTTTAACATCTAAGTTTAGAACTAAGTAGTCTTTCCACAATGAAGTTATATTCCACACAAATAACTTTGTTTTATCAAGCCAACTTTGGAATTTTTTTAATAATAGATTATTCATGTTGCTAAGAAAGGTCTGTATGGGCTGATCTTGAGTTAATATGTGCTGTTTTTTTATTATTTTTCTGATTAAACTCTGAAAAGCAGAACAGATATAGAATCCTTCTACTTATCATTTGCTCTCAACACTTGGCATGCACTAATCGTGTGTGAATTCATTAGCTATAAATTTTACCATTTTACAACTTAGGATTTATCTTGACATATTTATCTAAATGTCAAAGTAAATATTTGACAGTATATTTTCTACAGGATACCAGAGTGATTACACATACATGTTTGTGTTGAATGCATCTTTGACACGGTAGCCTCTATACTGAGTTGTTTGTAAATGAGTATAATTTTTTAGTGGATAAGTGGATATTAATATTATCTTTTTCTGATAGCAATAGTATCTCAGTCTGCATTCCAATTCAGTTTTACAATTACAAGAAAGCATCCAGACAAATTAAATAATTATTGTATGTCAGAATAAAATCACTTTATAAAGTGGTACAAGCATGACACATCTAAAATACATGTAACGTAACATTTTATAATTCTGCATTTTTTATATACTGGTTATTTTTTGGAAGAGGACAAGATTTTTAGATTACTGTGTAAATAGATATACATTTGGACTAGATAACAATAACTGACATTTTTAGTTTTTCCACTATATTAAATCATAGCTGTTTTATGCAAAGTCTGCAATATTTATATCAATCAACCTTTATAGCACAGCAAACATGGTAAAGACATTGTATAGCATTATTGACCTTTTTGACAGTATGTTCACTGGAATTCCTTTTGCAAAAAATATTTAATGTGTTTTAATAATACCATAGATAGTGAAAAGCCATGTAAAGAGTTCATTCAGCTGTGAAGGAAGGATTCACTTTAATGAGGAAAATGAACTATGTTTGATATATTAAAGATGTTTAATTGTTATCTACAGTAATATCTAAGGATGATTGTATATGTCCATTACAATGGAGATGATCTTTACCCCAGGGAAATATTTTGATGGTTTTGTCCTGATTGTCTATACACACCAGATTTCCATCATGGTTTAAAGCTATCCCACATAGATCTTTAACATTATTCATTTCAAGGTTTTCATTTGAATCATTTTTGATAACTTTCACCACATTTTTATGGTGATCAGTCATACATATATTGTTTTCAGAATCAATGGCTAAACTTCCAGCTCCTAATCGACTGATTGTGTCTGTAGAAACAGTTTTAAAATTCCCACTTAATCTATCATACATTTTAATGCAAACACAGTCTTTGATAATATCATTTAACACAATATCTCCTGCCTTATTGAGTACAATGTAATGTGGATTGTGTAAACTAAATCCATTCGATGCCAATCCACCGAAAGTTTTTATTAACTTTCCTTCACTGCTATAACAGAGTATTCTCCCTTTGTCTTTGTCAGTTACATAAATTTGGTCCAAGTTATCAACACAAACACCAAATGGTTGATACAGAGGCTTCCCTTCCAAACAAGTAGTCTTATTACCATTCCAATTTGAAATTGTTACTTTAGAACCCCAGGGTTGTGTATAGACAACTCTTTTAGATGACAGCCAGGCTACATCATGAGGTCTGTGCTTTTCCAGGTTCAGTAAAAGATAAAATATAGATTTTGGTATTGTGCTGAAATGACATAGATATTCTCCAAAACTACTGTAAATTACTATAAAACAACTTTCACTGTCAGATACTACATATTCTCCTGTTGATGACACAGAAACACAGGTAGGGGCAAACAGTTTCTCTCCCACTGGTCCTAGAAGTTCAAAACTTGCTAGAGAAGCATCTTGATCCAATCTTGAGGTACTATTGGCCATCTTCATACAATATGTGCAGCAAATCTCTCTTTAATGGTATCGGAAATGGATTGACTGTCCCCTTTGGCTTTTATAATGTTGAAAAATATTAAATTAAAAGTAGTTATTAACACATTTCCTGTATAAGATGATTTCCTGATGAAGGTTAACCACTAGACTTGACATCAGGTACAGTTTGTCTTTAGAGCTGTAAAACATAAAATACTTGCACTTTAAATTAATATCTTATTTGAAGCACCTGTAAAATACAATGTTTTAGTGCACTTACAGTTACATAACTAAATGTAAATGGAAAGACTGTATTGCCAATTATATAATCAAAGGTAAGAGAAATAAGGTACACCTGAGGCTCCTTGAACATCTTTTATTTAAATTTTACTCCAGCTTATGATGTCAGGTTTAAAATGAATAATTACTTATTTGTATCATATTTTTATATTAGAATTTTTTTTTTCAATATAAAAATTTATTTGTAATATAATTTTCTTCCAGATTAGTAAGTTTATTGTGAGATCAAATGATTATATTGAAATAATATATCTAAAAAAAAACTAACAAATTTGGCCATATAAGTTATATATTTGATTCCTCACATTACCATCACAATACAAGCCATTTAAGTATCACAATATGTTGTAACATATTTATTTACATGGAGAAAAATGGATTTTATGTTTCTCACAACAAGTTTTGGGTGAAATCCTTTCAGACTTACCTGTGTGAATCACAAGACATCGACCACCTGACCCTTTCAGATTATCCATCCTATTACAGAATTTTCTTGGTGGATAATGATTTTGTTATTGGTATATAAGACAGGTTTTTTTTTATCACTAGTTTCGGTTGTTTTAAATATGACATTTTAACTGTCAAATTATTAAAAGTAATTGTGGTTACATTGACATGTTTAATAATGATATGTTAACTAATTGATCAATTATTTTAAAACAAGTTTGGTTTGTGGTGGAAATAATGTCTGAAAATGTACTCTGATCATATTTATTGAGTTTGAAATTCAAACATGGAAATTGGGCTAACATTTGCTAATGAGTGAACCTCATGAATCCAGTATTCGGAATGTATATGACATAATTAACCCTTAACATTCAACTCAGATTTTCTGTAAACAAAAATTATGCTTTAGAGCTAAATGATTGTTAATGTTTTGACATTTCATATGATAAAGAATCCTGTTCTGAAGGCACTTTTAAAGACCCTAACATGAAAAATAATAGAAACCAAAATTCATGCTCGATACTGCAATCTTTTGACTGTAGTTTGATATTAATAATATATTTAGAAAGAAATGAAAATATCTTACCAGGCAAGAAGAAATATTCTTTTTAAACAGCACACAATAACTGAACTATAAATAATTATGCAGTATAAAATGACTGTGGCATATATTTGATGTAATCATTTCTCCAAACATTATATCACTCTATCCCTAATAAAATCAAGATGTATTTTCGTGATATGATATCATTTAAAAAATCCAGCTGATATTTTTACTGCTTGTTATGGATGACAAGTTTTGTATTTGACTTGCTATGTTGTTTGAGATAAAGCTAATCAGAACAGATCAGGGTTAGATAAGAAAATCAATTTGGCTAATTATTGAGACAGTTTCTGTGTCTTAAGAACAATGATCTTTTGAACTCACCAAGAAGATCATTTTTACAGACTATTTTCCTTGTTATTTACTTCACTGATTCATGTTGAAAGGTTCGTAGACTGAATTACTTGACAGTCTACATAGAAATTGTTGTTGTTTTATTCTGCCCCTAAGTTCAGATGGAAACACAAATCATCACATTTTCCATATAAATTATAAATATGCATCATCCATGTGATTATGATTTGTTCAGCCATCCATTCATCTTAATTTAAACTTTGGGCTACATACTTAATGCAATTGTCTTTCTAGTATATTATTTTATTGAACTCTTATAGTTTGTTTTATTTTAAGCATGAGGTATATTTTTCAGAGATGAACTTATAACGGGTAGGAGGGTTGTTTCACCAAGATTGAAATAAAAAATGAGGGGCAAAAACATGATTTCATTAAAAAAAATGGTATATGCTAGTATTATTTAGCATTGTTACACTTTGTAGACAATGGAAAAGTTCTTGATTTAACTTCCATTTCCTAATTATATTCTGCATCCTTACAAATGATGCTATGACCTGTGAAAAAGGGCAAAACATGTTCTGACAGTGCAAAATGACATCTGCACTGATCCATTTGATCCATGCCTGTTTTTACATGTAGTACATCCAAACATAGTTTATTGTGCATGTGACAGAGGCAACTTATTAAGTTTTATGATTAAAAGTATTTGATAATATTGATGTATTGTGTCGGCAACAATGAAAAATACTTATATTGACTCAGGTGTTGCAGATTATAAAAGTTAATTATCTTCATGCAACAAGAATAAAGTGCACCTTAAAATTATAAATATAACTGATGCATGCATTCCAACTTACTGTCTACCGGTACAAAAAAAATAGCCTCTTTTAGTCTTTTTTAAATGAATGTCCTTCTCACCTGCTGACAGTAACAATGAAATATACATTACCTACATTCCCTTTGAAATAGTTACTATCTGTTTAATTGCTAACAGAAATCAATGGTTGATGCAGTTAGTTACCATGGTAAGACGACATATTGATCAAAGTTTTACCTGTCGTATACCTGTGTTGAGTATTTATTCAGTTTCATATGAAAAAGATCATGTTGTATTTAGATTTAATATTTATCTAATCATAATTTATTGGTCAATTTTGTGAGTTATTAGATTTGGATAAATGAATGGATTAGTTCATATATATAAATTTGGTATGAAAAATCGTAGATCTCACATCAATTTTTTTTTGTGAACAAAATTTAGGAAAAATAGTATTTTAAGTTGTTTTTATGCCAAACTATTTTGGGTATATTGCCTCATCTGGCTTATTATAACTTTATTTTCATAATACTGGTCTAAATCATACAAAGAAAAGGGCCACATGATATTTAATATTAGATTTAGTATCAAGAATCATCAAATTAGAGCTTTTCTAAAAATGCATTATACAATGTACTATGACAAAAAGAAAAAAAAATAATAAAAGGACAAAGTTAAAAGTATAAGGGACTAAACTTCGCAGAAAAATGAAAAAAAACTTTTGCACTCACCTGAACCTTTATGGTAAAAGTTGAACAAAACCAGAAAAAAAGAAGACATGATGTTCAAAAGATCACTATATTGTATATATATGTAAATACAATACTCCACCATTATAATGACACCTTTTGGAACAAATTCAATATTGAAAATACAATATATCATAGAAACTATGATTTTGGAAATGTGTACCTTTATATTTATATATGTCTGATGATCAGTGAAAAAAGGGGGGACTAGAAAGAATGAGAAATAATGAGGAAGGTGTGTACTTAAATCTAGAAAAATATCTTTTCCCCCCAGTTTAGGCTGCCATTTTTATTTTATCTACTATATGCTTGAAAGACCAGCGATGATTGCAATTTTTTTTTCTTTTTTCAGAAAGAAAGCATTACAATCAAGAGTATTGAATACTAATAATTCAGCCGCAGCAACTATTGCCTCTGAAGATGAAGATTACAAACACATGGAGGATGTGGAAGAAGAAGACGACAGGGAACCAGATGAAAAATTACAGCTTAGAGGAAGATTCACAGAACAACGGGAAGAAAGGGCCAGGAATAGAAGACTATCAGATGAATATTTTAGGAAGCCGAGGTCACGACCAAAGAAAACTGCCTGGACAGAACAAAGAGCAGGAGAAAGAATGAGGTATGTATTTGCAAGAAATGTAAACACATTTTTTTTTCACTGTACATAACAAATTTAGTAATTGCAGCTTTAAGGTGTCCTACAAAATGATTTTTTACACGTAAACTTTTATAGGTGTTAAATAATTGTCTTGCAACTGGTTATTAATATTTTAATTTTTCATAAGCTATCTTAACATAAGTTTGGTTTTGAAATCAATATTGCCCAAATGAAACAATTAGCTATAGGTGACTTACCTTAGATTAACTGCATTTCCACTTGAGCATGTTTGATTTCAACAACTGAGGGTTATTTTTTCAAAACAGCTCTTTTAAAATTAAACTACAATTGACCCATTTCCATAAAAAAAATCTTGTACTTTAGTTTGGTTGTATTTTTTCGCTTGCTGTTACACTCGCATATTTGGACCTAAATTATGACTTTTATTATCTTCACAATGTCAGAAAAATTTTAGTTTTTTAGGTGAGATTTAATGCAGCTTTTTGTGTATTGTACAAAAATCACTTTCATTGGTAACCCTTACCATGCGGGGCCATTACATTACAGCTTCTACCCAAAATACCGTTTGTTGGCTCCAATGTCTCTCCATACTTTTAGACTTAGATCAGGTTCAATCCAAACTCAGCACTTATGAGGTCTATGTGTTTACTAGGGTCTACTCTACATGCAGACTACAGTGAGACACATCTGTCTTCCAGGTGAAGAATAGGACGAAATATAATCAAAATTGACCCTTTTTGCACCTGATAACCAACTTGAAATTTAGTGTACCTTGACATTTTTAACCCCCAAAAGATGATAGAATAAACCAACTTTTCGTGAAAATCACAGATGTTATACATTTTGTTAAAACAGGTGGTTACAGTTTTTAAAATTTGTTATCATGACAGGTTGCATTGTTTAAAAGAAAATATATCTCAGTCATATATCTGATGAACAATTTTGATAAAAGTTAAGAACAATATTAAGGTAGATGTGATTTTAACTGAAGTTAACTTCTTTTTATACAGTGAAGGTAGTCGATCATCAAGAAGTACAGAAACCTTTGATGATGATGATGGAAGAATTCCTACTCCTGTCTTGGCATCCAAAGAATCTAAACCTATGCGACACCATTTTGACCTCACAACTCCTGCAGTTGGTGGAGCCTTGTTGACATCACCTCCTCAAGTTAGACGACCAATGAGAAAGCCACGTCCACAAACAGCACCTGTTAGCAAGTCATGGGCTCAACCTTTAAGAGGTAAACATACTCTGTTTTTATGATGGAATCAATGACTTATCTCCCTTCTAATAATGAAGTTGTGTTTGATGTTAATATTTTTGTTATAATGATTTATAGGACATTTATTGATTTATTTTATTAGATCTGTATACCTTAAACTTAGATTTCAACATCAGATTCTTGAACATATTGACATTGTCGGTAAACGTCTGTCTTTTAGTTACAGTTTTTAGTATATTTGTTGAGTTCAAACAAATTGTAAAGGGAGAATCAGTATTCAATTTAGTGATTATGGTAAGCAAATTACTAAGTCTAGACTTGAAGATAACTATTGTTCAAGAATCTTCCTAGAAATGCTGTAATTATAATAAATAATTAAACAGATTTCATGAAGATGATGTAAAATTTAGACTATTTTCAGTATTTTAATTTTTGTGTTAACATATGTATCTGTAAGACTAGTTACATTGTAGGTGTGGATGAAGATTATGAAAGTGATGATACTTTGACAGAGGAACCTGTTTATACAAAATCTACAGCAAAACAGAAATTATTTAAGGTAGTTCATATACATTGCTTTGTTCAAATATGTTTAAAAAGACTGCTTTAAATCTTTAATTTGGATGTGAACATTAAATGAAAATAACTAAGGACTTTATTATACCCCTGCCACAAAGAGGGTGGTATAAAGTGATGCACATGTCAATTATTTCATCCTTTACTCTTGTACTGTTCATTCTTCATCATTCAGTCTGGTTACTGATGTCTTGAGAATATAGACAATTTTAACTCTTGCATAGAAGTAAACTGATTTAATGTGAAAATAAATGATTTAAAGTGTTGCTTTTTGTAATGCAGTAAATTTGTGCAAAGTAGCTCCATTCTTGTATTTAGATCTCTTTTACATTACTTTTATAAGGTAAATTTGTATAGGTTTGACTTATTAAGACTTGAAACATTCCTGATAAGACCACTGACTACAGCAATCTTGTAAAGGTTTTGTTCAATGTGACGTCTAGAGTCCCCCTCCCCCCCCCCCCCCCCAAAAAAAAAAAAAATAAAAAAAATAAAAAAAATATGGAAAACAATCAAGCTCTTGAAATAGGTAGATTAAACATAACTGTCTATATGATTATTTTTTTTTTCTTCAGACCTATGATGTCAGTAAAGCAAAACTTGTATGTAATCCAACATTTGGTAAACCCTCACCAGACACACATCCACTTAGAGATGATGAAGCCTCTACAGATAGACCTATGTTGACAACATTTGTTGACACTCCTGCCAAATCTTTGACAGTAGAAAATGGTGAGGTTAAAGCTCAGAAGACCGGAGAAGGTGAGTTATTCTTGAATTTTAGTCAAATATATATTGGTTTAGTAGTACTAATTAACATATTTGTATAATTTCATTTATACGAGGGGCCTTGCTGGCAGAGTGGTCTAAGTAGTCGAACTACTGTATGTCTAGCCTGTAATACTGAGGTTTTGAGTTCAAATCCCACAGGTGGCAGATGGATTCCACTCCAATCTTTATTGACTAGGATTGTCAGTTTTAATACCAAAGGTCATGGTTTTCTCATGACACTCTGGCTTCCTCCACCAATAAAAACTGACCGCCACGAAAAAGCACAATAGTATTGAAAGTTGTGTTAAAAACCAATCGATCAATCAATCATTTACACGAAGAAAGGTTCTCTTCACGTAGAAGAAAAGGCAAGACAATTTTTATTTTAATTTCTTAAAAAATACCTGCCATTTGCTTGTTTTAAAATCTACTTTTTCAGAAAAATAATGGCAAAACTGAGAGAAAAGGAGGTACTCTCAGACTATATAAATATATTATCTTAATTGAGTTTGATAAATTTTGATTGTTGTTGATAAAACATACAAAATTGTACATATTCAAGGGGAGGCAATAGAAAAACAAAGGATATGGGGTATCCATCCATGACACAAAATCAGTACAATGTACATGCACAACAAAAAACACACAAAAAGCAAATGAACAGCATTTTTATTGCTGTTCTTTATCTCAAAGTCACAGTGAGGTCTGCAACAAGGAGCAAAAAAAAAAAATCACACACCACATTACAAGTTTAAAGACTACCCTAACTCCATTTAATCCAATATCTTATTGATTTCAAATAAATTACTGCAGGAACAGTTACTTCTAAGACAATTAAGAGCTTGATATATTTTATATACAAACTTGTCTACTATTACCAATCTCAGTAGGTTTTTGTTGAGGATGGGTTGTTTCATTGGTGTATACTCCACATCTTATATAATTTTAAGTAAGATCCGTTTTCCCTTTTTCATTGTCCAGAAGACAAGTAGTTCTATGGAAATAACAGTTGAATGACTTGAAATACAAAAATAGCTTTGAACATTATATAATCATATGATGATTTATGTGGTTGTAAGACTAAAAAGAAATAGTATGGATCTTAATGCACTCTTATGCTTTAGTTCAAGTAAAAAGACCAAGAAAACCAAAACAAGAAGGTATTCCCCCTACCATTAAAGAAGGATTTGGTTACACATATGGTAAAGGTGATCAAAGCAAATTGATGTGGACCATCGATGGTGGCAAGTATTTTAAGTCCTGAAACCAAAACTGTCATTGTTTTATAGTTTTATTTAAAATTCTGTCTTAGTAATCAGTACCAGTGTACTTGGAGGCATTTACATTTATTCAGTATTGTCTGGAATATACATTAAATATATTCCTTCCAGTAATAATTAAGCAACTATTCCGCCATCTAAGCCTACATTTAGGCTATTTCAGGTGACCAATTTCATTGAAATAGGAGGAGCAATACCACACTTTTATACAATGCACAAACAATGTCAAAATTCAGTTCACTGTTCAACAAATATTTGTTTTTCAAACTGAGAATATTTCACGTCCAAGTAATCTTAAATTGCTGGGGCATAAGTACCAGTAAAGGACTGACTAATATATTGTTTCCATCAAGAACAGACATATATGCACTGTGTTTTATTCCAGACTACATTTAATATATATAGAATGTTCCTTTCCAGGAAATATGCACTGTATTTTATTCAAGACTATGCGTTGTCATACATGTAATGCTTGTTGATGTTTTTAAAAATGAAGAAAGACTTTTCTTATATTAATTGTCCATTTTTTTTTATAAATTCTGCAAAGTCGGGTTATACTCAGGATTAAAACTCAGGTAAAACCAAGTTAATTTGCACAAACTTAACATCATTTGTTCGTGCAAACATAATACTTGTCAACATTAAAATTCATGTAAATGTAGCACAGTAGCATCTCAGTCAACAGGCATCAAAAAGCATACACAATTGTTATGGCATCAGTCAATATCTTCACCTTGAAACATATCATTGAATAATCAAGGAAGGAGAATCATCGAAAAAATACAATCAAATTGTGAGTGACTGAAATAAACAAAAATCTAATCAAACAAAACACAATAATAAACAAGTAAATAAAAATATTTAAGTAAATGAAATAACATCTTCCTTTTATGACAAATAAGACTCTTAACACATATCTACAAAGGTATAGCCATTTTATTAAGTTTTATTTTACTTGTTTGCAGGTATGCCTATACCCAGAAGAGACCCTGATGATGATGTTTTGTCGTTTTCAACTAGATCTGTAGCTTCTAGTTGTTCTCTAGCATCAGAAACATATGAACGAGCAAAGAGAAGGACAGAGGAATTCTGGGGGAAAAATGGTGTAGCCTCACGTTGAACATTGTGGAAAGATTAAAGTATAACTGTGTATTTATTTGTTAAAGATATTATAAGTCTGTTACTAGAGAATTTTAGAATATTGTACGTAGAAGTTACATTGAGGTAGAAATATTTTGAGCAGAGTTTAGATGGGTGTTTAAATACTGAGGGCAAAGTGTGTGAGATATGTAAACGATAAAATGCTTATTAAGTTTAGATTGATCATGGCATTTTGAAGACATTTGGATCATGAGCAAATCATTAAGAAAGAGTTCAAGCAATTCCATTATTATAGAAAATTTTAAAAATTGACTTTCTAGTGTTATTTCAATTTATTTAAAAACATTTTCTAGTGTTTGTGTTATGAAAGAAAGCTGGAATGTTCTTAGCATTATTCTTACAATATTGACTCATGATCATTATAAACAAAATGCCTATCTGAACTCTGGCAGTTTTTGTTTGCTCAACAATTTTATAATTATGTGTTATCATGAAATTCCGCGAATTGTCATACAGATGATTAATTGTGTGCTGTGCATGATTATTTATTGAAAACAGGCAGCATTTTATTGAGTAATTGATTAAAATTGTTACAACTAAGCAAGATGATTTCAGAATAAACATTCATATCATGTGTATAAAACATTTGGAAGAGCTTTGAAATACATAGAAGTTGTGTTTTGCTAGCGATGTAGTACTACAGAGGCTTGTTACTGTCAATTTACAGGGTTTATATTGATAAGAATTAATCAAATGTTTAGTCCTTGTTTTTATGGAATAGATTAATTTAATTGTAGTTGGTGACAAAAATATGCATGCAAACTAAGACAGAAAAACAGATAGAAATAGAAACAAAATTGACATTTTTTGTTATTTAAAAATTCAGTAGTTACTACTTTCAATAAAATTGCAAACATCACATTCAACACACGATAAAGTCTTTTTAAGAAGCATTTCTGTGATATTTTTGAATTTTATTTGGTTTTATGATATTGAGATATTTTTTACAGAATACTTTAAGAATTATTCACACTATAAAACTGTATTTTATTACTTATAACAAGGTATAGCCATTTTAGTGATCTGTAACATTGCAGTCTGTATATCTATTCAAATAATTTTATTTCTGATTTCTGATTTTTGGTTTTTATTATAAGACATTTAATTTTAAGTTTTATCTTTTTGGTTGAATTCTCTATGTTGAATATGCTCTATTGGTAATCATTAAAGAAATTTTTTTCCTGTAAAAAATGTACAAAATGTCTATGCCTTGTATGTATTTTTTACTGTAATATAATTACACAAAATAATAAAATAAAATGGCTGTATTATATCTTAGATTCATTAAAGATATATTTGTATTATTGTTGTTGAATTTCAATATTTATGACTTTCAACCTTGTCTGGAGAAAACTGTTGAGTAAAAAGTTTATTCAAACCTGTTGTATGTAGTCAGTATGTATAATAGTCTCATATTGTAATTTTCTTGTAGTCTCTAATCTTTTCTGAAATCTCGTAAGGTGGAAATATTTCCTGTAGTTTAATAAGGTGGTTGTTTATTATTTGTGTCTGAGTGGTATGCAAAGACTTTTATAAATTTATAGTGTCAGTGAACAAAATATTGTAGGTCACCAATGGCAGGCTTACTAAATATTTTGAGTTATATTTATTTACCTATTCCAAAGAGCAAAGTTTCATAATGTAAGCCTTCCATTGATGAAATGAAAAGTTTAATGATCACATCAACCTGTATTTTACAGCTGTAATTTAGGTAAATTATTTTCTGTGTGTATCGATAAGAAGTCCTGATTATTTCCTGTGTGTATTGATGAGAAATCCTAATGTCCAATATTTAGTTCAAGTAAACTCTCCTGATTGAGCAAATCTCAATTAAAGTCAAGACATCAACCCACATATTTAAGCATTGTACACCAATGACCAACTCCAAACACAACTAAACCAAATTTTACATAAGGGATCTCTGTGTGTTAACCAAAACATAGTACTTGCAAGTCACACTGGCTTAAAGCAGGAAGATATGTTAGAATAATAATTTTATTATAAACAATCAAATCAGTTTTGGCCCTTGAGAAACACTCGGCATACAAAATAAAATTTTGAGTTCCTGCCTGAGCAGGTCAGCTTGCAACCTTCAGTGTAAGGAAGAACCTGCCTGCCCGACAATGCGCCAGCCAGGAAGTGGAGTGTCTCCACAGAGAGGATGAGAATAGACATCTCATCTGCAGCCGGGTTGTGCAAGGTCTGCATCAGGGGATAGCCCATGTGGTGCTATTACAAGTAGTAAGTAGCAGGGTCTATCAAACTGGCGCTGGAATAATTTTGATCAAATTTGTCCCCGAAATGCTTGGGGATGAATGAAATTTTAGAAATGACCAGTGATAAAATTCCATCAAGGTCCAAAAACACAGATGGAACAGCTGCGTGCCCCCAAGGATTTAGGAGTGTGGACTTATTCACCTTCAATAAAGTCATGAGAAAAGAAAAAAAAAAAAAATAATTTAATAATAAATTACACCTGTTGACATATAAAATCATAATAATAATACATTTTGTAATGATAGATCAAATATCATAATGCTATGTGTTAAGAATTACCTAACAAATCTTGTGCATACTTAATTGAAGAAGATGACACTCTAATATACCTGCAGTAACTATCAGAGGACCAGCGTCCTAGTACTTTGACCAAATGGTCTTCAATATGTGCTTTACCTGCAGTTGTGGCAGCTCCAATGCGTAGGCTATGACAATTATAGTGATCGGGATTGAAGCCACATAAACTAAGTACATGTTTAATGCAATTAATGAAATAATTTCTTTCTAAGGCTAAAGAATTTTGTGAGATAAAAAATGGATCAGATGGGAGATTAGGGATTAGATTTTTTCGAATTTGAAAATATTTGATTTAGATTTTATAAGGAAAAATCAGTTTTTGTACTTTATGAAGTTGAATATCTATACCCTTCCTGAAGGGATCTGTTTTTGACTGTTTCAGTTTCAAAATGGTCATATCTTTATGAAATGTAATATCTCCAATACATAAATTTACAGATGAGTCATATTGGTTGGCATTCAAAACTGTGAATTCTCCACATCTCATAAAGCCATAAAAACCTACTGTACAGGCTGTTTCTAGCATTAAATCAATAAAAGGGGTAAACACCCCATATCTCAGACGAAAAATGATTTTTTCTAAAATCTCAAAAGTAATAGGTAATCTCTTATGGTTCCTAGGTTTTTGAAGTTTTTTGACAGAGTTCAAAATGTAAGTGAGTCTATCTAAATGTGTGTTGTTGTCAGATTCTAAAGGGTCTTTACAACTATTCTGCAAATACCTGTATCTTATTCCACATAAATACAATTTAATGGTAGAATACTGTAGTTTTAAGAAATGGAAACAATATGCTATAAAGAAAATTAAAATGTCATCTGAAATAGGAGGTAAGAAATCATATTTGAAATTGTTCAGCAACATAAATCTCTCAAAATGTTTGAAACCAGTTTCATATGCACTCTTTGTTTTGCTTGCAATAGCAACGTCCCAAAGTTGATTAACTATTTTGTTCAGGACCACATTACTTCTGAATTGGGTGGGCACTGATGAGGTTCTAGAGCTGCATTTGGAGCCAGTCTGCGGAAACGGTTTATCTGTAAACGAGACAAAGCGTCACTTCTTTTCTTTTTCATATCCTGGTACATGTTTCGCACTAAAATGAAAGTTATATTTACAGGCACACCATGTTAATTGTCGCATTAATTTCATGATCTGCAAGCATTTAGAGCGACCTTTTTTCACTATTGCAACTGTTGCCTCATTATCACACCAGAAAAGTATTAGGTTTTTTGACCATCTGGAACCCCATAGAATAGCTGCCACTACTATTAGGTAAAGTTCTAGGAAAGCCATGGAATAGTTTTTTTCATATGGTAATTCCAAATTTCCTGACCATGAAGAATAAAACCAGTCTCCTTTATGATAACCTCCAAAACCTTTAGTTGATGATGCATCTGTATAAAGTTCCATGTCGAAACTTGAAATATAATATTTGTTGTAAAACATATTTACTCCATTCCAATTAATGAGAAAACGCAACCAAAAGTCTAAATCTGTTCTGCACTCCATACTTAGGTAAACATAATGGTGCAGATCATTGACGGTAGTGGAAAGATTAATTAGATATGAAACAAAAGAGCGGCCAGGAAGAACCATCCTTGAGGCAAAATTTAAATGACCTAAAAGCTGTAAAAGTTCCCTTTTTGTGCATTTCCTTTTCCTATACATTTTAGATATAAACTCACAAATGCGATCAACTTTATTAGTAGGCAGACGAGCTTCCATTTTTTCGGTGTCCAAAATAATACCTAGATATTCCAAACATTTTACTGGACCTAATGTTTTATGACTAGCTACCGGTATGTTAAGTCTCTTAAAAATAATCATCATTACAGCCATTGTTCTTTCACCATCTTCTGATGGTGAATCAATAGTTAAAAAATCACCAAGCAAATGTAATATGTTTGAAATTTTGTAGTTATGTTTTGCAATGTGGCAAACAGCTTGTGACACATGATCAAAAATTTTTGGACTGGAACGACAACCAAAAGTTAACCTAACAAAGAAATAATACATCTCGCACCATTTTATACAGAAAAGTGGCCATTGACTAGGAGAAATAGGACAAATTTTAAACGCGTCGGATATATCGTATTTACATAGCCATGAATTTCTTCCTAGAATCAAAATGATATCTATAGCATCATCAATCTTGACATAAGACATTGAACAATCATTTTTATCAATTAAATCATTTATGCTTTTATGTTGATCATCATTGTGAGGGGAAGACAAATCTAATATTAATCGTTTTTTGTTTGAGTACTTCCCCTCTGCTACACCAATTGGACTTACCCTGTAATACTGAAAAGGAGGGGTGTTAAAGGGCCCATACAGGTATCCTCTTTCTACCTCAATTGATATTAAATCATTTGTAGCTTCGGGTTGAGACCTTGCTGAAAAACTATTTCTGCATTCCTTTGTAGGTAAGTTTGTTTCAGATATCATTGTATCAAAACCATACCGTAGACCATTGCATTGGTAACTAAAAAAATCTTTGTCCGGATAACTAAACAATTCAAATTCAAGCTTATTTACATTAGCCGGGGAAGTAGCATCCTTTGGAAAGTCCTCTAAAACTAGTAATTTTTTAACAGGTTTCACATTACTGTGGGAGGTACTTGGTAAATGGGATGTAGGAATTTTGTTCTACTCTCCACTTTTGTTGAAGGATGCAGGGGATGCAACTCTGCAATTTTGTTGGGAATGGGTATACGAGTTGCACTTAGAACAAATATGCTTAAAAGGGCATCTAGATCTAAAACACCCCCTGACACCATTAAAATGGTTGCAGATCTCTTCACCCTTTGAATATAAACGGTTTCTGACAACTCTGTCCGTATTGTCAGAAATAGGACCTGAATCAATGGAAGCTTCAAACTGCCTTGAAATTTTGTTAGATTGAGGCTGGTATTTGCCCGATGTTTGTAGTGAACAGAAAGCTGTTGTATGATCTGCCATATTACAGATTTTACAGATGTTTATACTAGCCCCAGCTGTAATCAAATTTAATATATCGCGATCCCTCTTGCTCCAATCTACTTTTACAAATTTTTCTCTCAACAAAGTTGCAGCTTTTGCAGAGAACATGTTATGGTAATCATAAAATTTATCTCCAAAAAAGTTGCAGATATCAATGATGTCATCTTGATAGGCGTCTAATTCGGCAAGCCTATCTGGAAAGGCGGTTGTCATGACCCTTTTATATTTTCCAAAAGCCCTAATGAATTCCTGCAAAGACAACTTTCTGTTCAAACGTGGATCGGGCCTACCTGAAACATTTAATTCTATACCATTTGCCAAAATATTATTTGTTTGGGGACATTCATATTTTGGTATTAACAGAGATGCCAAGTTAATATCCTTACCCTCAATGATCTGTTTTTGAAGCATAGGAGAAATAATATCCACATTAGAAAAAGAATCTGAACGCACTCCTTGGGATCCATGTTGAAAAGATGAGGCTCGCGAATCAAATTGCTGTACGCTGGAAGATGGATACACTGAATCCTGTTGTGATCCTGTTTGAAACATGGGATTAATATTCCGAACTTGATTCATAGGATTAGTTGTAGAACTTTGTGCTTTATACCACTGCTGAAGGTTGAAACCACTGCTGTCAGTATTAGTCCCTTTGTTCAAATTCTGGTTATGCTGATTTAAACTTTGTTGAAAACCACTAAAACAATGTGCCAACAAGGTGGACATTGTATTCATACTGTTAAA